CTGCTTATTAGCTGCATAAAGTTTTGGTTGGCTTATTTAGAGGGATATGCTTCTTGCGGAACTGGCCCACATTGAGGATGCACTTGAAGCCTTGAAGGCTTCAGCGTGAAGTATGAGGACAGCTTTCTCGTTTTAAGTAATAGTGCTATACCATAACAGAAACGGGAAATTGCAGCAGACCTTTATGCTCTGCTTTCATATGGATGTCACGAAATGTTTTTCGGGTTGGTAATGTTATAACTTATACAAATTCTTTTTTGCAGTGACGATCTGTTAACTTTTAATAATAACGTTGTGCTTTGCCTGAGAGTATTTTTCAGCTGGAATTTTCTTGTAACCATTAATAGGTGCACTTTGTTAATTTATTGTTTTGTGGAAACTCTTTGCGCAAACTCTTATGGAATATCTGTTTGCCTCAAATTCAGAAAAATTGGTTATTTCTGGTGCGTTGTGTGTTCATTATAGGAAATTATGTTGTTACATTTGGCAGGAGGGTTTTATTTAAAAGGGATTTGTTCTGTTGCTGTTATTGTTAAAAAGTGTTATTCTTCTTGAAAATGATGTATTGAGCACAGCTATTGTATCTACTGGTGATAAAAAGTATTGCTCCTGATTTTGAGAAGAATATAGAGATTTTTTGAATACTTGTCGCTGGGCATTTATTGGAAAACAAATTAATATTCAGGTGACATTGGTTCAGTTTTTCAATATCCTCATTTCAAAAACCTGCGAATGGTATTTCTGTTTGGCACATGGGATTGCTTATTATTTTTAAGCATTTACGGGCCTTTTCATATAACAGTGTGCTCGGGACTGGTGTTCGTTCCTGGGTCGTTCAGTATTTCTGATGAAAAGAGGTAGTAAACGCTAGTCATTTGGTTTAATTACTTCTAGTGAAAGCTTTTTGGGGATACCTTTGAAGCACTGGGTCTGCACATTCGTGTGGTTTCTCAGAATGCATGAGAGGCAGTGAGGTTATCCCTCAACTGGAATAAATTCTGGTTCTTTAAAAATAAAAGGAGTGAGTTGGGGGATGAAGGGTTTTTCATTTGAATTGGTGGGTTTATTTTCACAAAATTCAGCTCATTACGTATTCAAAGTTTCTTTTGATAACTTTGTCTTGTTATCAGTGCTTAATTTTTTTAATTTTTTAAAATTTGGAAGCACCAATGCAGATTTTTCATTTCACAAATTCAAGTTACACTTTGGTTTTTCAGAGTCATGCTTTCTAATGATATTTGGTTTTTAACTGCCTTTTCTGAGGTGTTTTTCAAATTAGGCCATAATGGTTCTTTTCACAATCTGAATGTCTTAAGTTGTGGAGTTATAAGTGGTACTTAACATGTGTATGAGTCCAGTATATGTCTAAAGAATATTGAAACGGCTTATGAACTGAGCGAGACTAGTGGGAATTAGCTGTAAAGTTTTCAAAGTTCTTTACGCTTTTTTTAGTAAACATCTGCTGGTTGTTTGGATCGTCGTAAAAATCAAAGGGAAAATGTCCAGCATTAGGTTTTTAATACATCTTTCTCTAATTATTCTTCTACGAATGTTACTTCTTATAATACTGTATTTAAAGCATTTATCGATTGAAACTAATTGAAAGGCCGGCTGCTATTCTTATTTAATTGAGAAAGCGATAAATTGGTTGCATAAATATTGGGAGCAAGGAGAGTGGAGAGAATGAGAATATTTTTTTGTTTATATATTCGTATCTCAAGAAATTTGTCTTAAAGGGACTTAAAAAAGTGGCGGTGGCAGAAGGAAACAATGAGGGTTAGAGCAAACTCTGAAAGAAGGAAATAAGTTACATCTATTTGAGATTTATCTTTTCGCCGTGGCCAAATAAGTTGCGGAAGAGGTGGGGGGATCAGTGGTAAGTGTAAAAGGAATTTTAAAGAAGTGTTTTTTATTCGTAAAGGTCGAAGGAGCTGTGGTTAAAAAACACACAGTCTGGCTTAGAATGAAAGCTAGGTATGCTCGAAGCTACTTCATTACTTTTCACTGCAACGATTTACTCACTATTTGGGCTCAGGCTAATAATGCTCGTCGGTGCTTACTCGCTTCTATGGATTCAGGAAGTAGCGCGCAAAATCTTTATTCATTTTTGCCGCAATCTTGCAGAGCATTTCGTGGTTACAAGCTAATGGACACATTCGAAGTGCAGGTGTTTTCCGACGGGATGTTTTTTCCACGTTTCACTCCAGTGGGTTTGAAATTTCTCAGATGTAGAAATTGCAGACCACTGTTTACTAATCTTGTTCGACAGGTCTGAGTTCAGCTAGCTCTGTGAAACACCAGCGGTGCGCTTGAAGATTTTCTCTACAATAGTTAAATTAGTGTTCCGCAAGGAGCCTTTCGTGCTGATTGCGGTTAATAGGTCTAGCAACACATGTATATAGATATTGTCGTAGTCTTGTTCAAAATGTTATTGTAACAAACTCTTTAAAGTTTATGTGCTGACCTTTTGTAAAGAAATTGAAACATTTTTTGTAACGCTCTGAATGGCCATTTCTGTAAATGAGTTAGTATTAGCTGAGTTTAGGTTTTGTTCAAAGAATTTACCATTTTTAACAGCATTAGATCTTACATAACAGTAACTTTTAGTAAGAAATTGTAAATTGTAAGCTACAGAATCAAGGACAGAAACGAAAAGTGAAAAGGGTTTGCCGTTTGCCTCTTATCAGTAGAAAAATGTTCAAAATTTCAATTTCAAGAGAAATTTGGGAACAGGATCTAGGGGTTTGGAAGCTTAAGAGTTTACTCATCTTCACCAAGTTCTGTTTCAAACAAGATATTTTATTTTCTTGAAAGTATTCTGATATTCAGATAATGCCTTTTCTGTTTCACTAAGAGTTGTCGTTACTGTAAAGGTCGCCTTCATAAGCTATTCAGAATTAGTCTTCTACGTATATGTATTTTTTCCTGTAAGGTCTTGTAGAGGATATATTTTATATGCTGCATTTCGCCGCTCTTTATTTTTCAGGTTTCAGTTTTTGCAGCACTAGTAGTTCCTTTCATGCTGGTTTCGCTTCTTCTCTTGCAAACTGCTTTTTCTCGTCGCAGTTGTTTTACACTTGATGGATGCTTTAAATTTACCACCGTCTTAGCTATTTTGGCGTGTTTTTGGAAGCAGAGTCGATCAAGATATAACTCAAGAGCAAGTGAATGGGTTCTATATCTGAGCAGACTTTTAGTAGATTCATTTGAAAAAGAAGTCGTTTCTTGACTCTTGACTAAACTGGACTTTGACACCAAGTCAGCGTGTGGATTTAGCAAAGAATATGGTGGCTTTTCTACTCGGTAGACCTATAAAGGTTATCTGGTACTTAAATGGCTGTAATTACTCAATTTTAAAAATTAGTTTTAATGTCACAGATTTTTTTTGTTGGGGAAGTATTCAAAACCGGACATGTATGCCGTTTATAAGGCATCCCGGCAGATACCCATTAAGGACTGAACATCAGCACTTAGCTGGGTCAATATATGCTGCATACTATGGTAAAGATTGTTAAAAATTCTGTTAGAAGAAATGAAGCTCATCTTTAAAATGATTTCAGGAAACAGTTCGTTTAAAACGGGAATGGAAAATAGAAATTTTCTGCATGGAAGCAAAAAATAAATGGAACC